CATCTAGTTTGCCCTCTTGTAACGTGGAGGTTGATCTAACCTAACCTCAATTTAATTCCTCTCTAATCTCTTCATCAAATTCGAAACCATCTACCTCACAAAATTTGCCTGTTTCCTTGCATAATTTGCCTTGTTGCAATTTAGAAATTGATTTAACTTCACCTCATTCATCTCATCCTCCAACATTACCCCTGATAACTCACCATCTTGCCACCTTCAAGTTGTACTAGTTCCATCAAAAGTCTCTTCTAGGATTCAAGGTAAGTCAACTCCTGTAAACACTCATCCTATGATCACTTGAGCCAAAGTTGCTCAAGGTAAAACTGCCCTTGTTATTGCTTAAGTGTCCTCTACTCAAGCTGAACCTTTTTCAGTCAAAGAAGCCTTAAGAAGTAAGGTGTGAAAGGAGGCGATGCAAGCTAAATTTGATGCTTTAAAGAAGAATAATACTTGGACTCTTGTCCCAATGACCACTAATCAAAATATTGTTGGTAAGAAGTGGGTGTTCAGAACCAAATTTAATGTGGATGGTTCCTTTCAAAAATATAAAGCTAGACTTGTTGCAAAAGGATTTCAACAAACTCTAGGTCTAGACTACTTTGAGACCTTCAGTCCAGTCATAAAGTCTTCTACAATTCAAATTATTTTTATACTTGCAGTGACACATGGATGGCATATCCAGCAAATTGATGTTAATAATGCGTTTCTTAAAAGTACCTTGAGTGAGAAAATTTTATACAACAACCTGAGGGGTTTGAACATCCTCATTTCCCTAATCATGTTTGGAATCTCAATAAGACTCTCTATGGCCTTAAACAAGCACCAAGGGCTTGGTATGACAAGTTAAAGCAAGCTCTTTTGGACAAAGGGTTCAAAATTTTTGTATCTGATACTAGGCTCTTCACTATTGAGCATGATGGCTGTATGATCTACATTCTCATATATGTAGATGATATATTGTTGAATAGTGGTCATCTCTCTTACATTCAAAAGTTTGTGGAAGATTTAAATAATCAGTTTAGTTTAAAAACCCTTGGTTATGTCCATTACTTTCTCAGCATTGAGGCAATTAGGACAGCTCATGGTTTGCATCTCAAATAGACTAAATACATGTTGATCTTCTTGTTAAGACTAACATGGTAGATGCAAACTCTTGTTCTACACCTATGGTAGTCGGGATTAAACTATTGTCTAATGATAGTGTTGCCTTCACTAATCCAAGTTTATATTGAAGTACAGTTGGAGCCCTTCAATATTTAACTTTAACAAGGCTTGATATTAGCTTCACGGTTAACAAGTTGAGCCAATTTCTTCGGGCTCCTACTGAGATACAGTGGCAAGCATGTAAAAGAGTCTTATGATACTTGAAGGGGACTCAAGATCATGGCCTACAGTTCAAGTCAGATGCCTTTTTAACAGTTGAATGTTATGCGGATGTTGATTGGGGTAGTAACCTAGATGACAGAATATCAACAAGTGGTTACTATGTTTCTCTTGGTCCTAATCTCATCCAGTGGAGCTCCCGAAAACAGAAAGTTATAGCCTTATCCTTCACAAAAGCCGAATATAAAGCACCTGTTCATACAGCCACATAAATTGCTTGGTTGAAAAGCATCTTTCCTGAATTAGATATTCCCTTAAACACCTCTCCAATCATATGGTGTGATAATGTTAATGTAGGAGCTTTGGCTTTAAATCCTGTCTTTCATGCTAGAACTAAGCATATTGAAATTGATGCATACTGTATTAGGGATCAGGTTATTGGCAAGCATTTGGTTATTCAATATGTTCCTTCCAAGTTCCAGATTGCTGACATTTTTACCAAGGCTTTATCCATTACTCAATTCCAATTCTTGAAGGAAAAACTTACTGTGGTGATGGCCCCTGTTGAGTTAGCAGTATCATAGTTGGTTTATGGATGCAGCTCAGCATTATGGATTGCTAGTTCTGCTCTGTCTTTTGATAGTCAACTCACTCAATATTCCGCATTGATATTTCTTTGCATAGCCTGGATTACTTCGCATTATGGACTAACAGTACAACCCTTACTTTGAATATATGTTTATGAATGAAGCTCAACATTATGGAGAAAGCTTAGCATAAGCATTATGGACTGTCATTTCTTTGCTGCCGTATCAAGTCCAACTTTCTTAGCATTCTCAACTTATGAAATCCTCACTATTATGGTTTGTCAATTTTTTCCTGATTGGCAGATCATGATTAAAGTTCAGTCTCATTTTTCAACTTTGGAGTTCAACCTTGGTTATAAGTTCTTTGATCAAGATTATCAACTTGTGGTTGACATCCATATGTGCTTTCACACAGCTTGTCATGCTTATCGACTTTCTATTTGTTAGAAGTATAATCAGAATACAGCTAGTGGTTGCAATCTAGGTTTTTATTTGTTATTCATATTTCTATTTGGTTGCAATTTAGATTTCTATTTTGGTTTAGTGAAGTCAAAATGCAACTCGCAGCTCTTAGTTCCTCAGGTGAGTATGCATCAAAATGTGTGCTTTTGAATTAACAGGTTATGGCAGCTAAAATAGCCCCTGATTAGCTTAAGGGGGAATGTGACTCAAACTGTTCGAATGAAGGAGAGGTTATGGAAGAAAGCCCTTGATTAATTTAAGAGGGAATGTGAACCAAGCAATATTGATAGGTTATGGAAGAAAGCCCTTGATTAGTTTAATGGGGAATGTGAACCAAAATGTAAGATTGTAATACTATAGGGTTAAGTAAATTGTGCTAAGTGACGTCATTTTGATCTTCACTATGTTTGTTATTAAGTCAGTTAGTCGTTGACTAACATCTGCTGTGTTTTACTTTAAAAGCAGAGTAAACTCCTTACTGTAATCAGTTCAGTTGAGCCAATACACATTATTCATTCTTTCGATTGTTAATCTAGAATTTTCTTTCAAGATTTTCTTTGAGATTTTCAATATAATGTAAGTTTGATATTATTTTTCCCTGCATTTTCAGGGACTTGCAACGAGAAAAAAAGAAAAAAATCTACAGGCTTAAAAACTAAGGATTGCGTAAAATTCTCTGACCAAATGTAGCTTTTTCATTCTGATAATAGTTAAAGATTGAGATATAAATTTGAGTTTAATTCTCTGATCAATTAAATTGTAATTACATGATTTGTATATGTTATAGCCAAACTTAATACTGATCTATCAACACAAAACAATCACACCAAGAAACAAGAAAACACCACAAAATCAAACACACAAACAAGCCACGATTTACCGTGGTTTACTTATCCTTTTATGGATAAGCTACATCCACGTTGAGCTCAAGAACGGTATGAGCTCGCTGCACTTCGATTACCAGAAACAGTCAAGATTACACAGATTCAACACTCACCAGATCTACCTGATTGCAACAGCAACCAGCCTTACAAGATACTCTCTGAATATCCCAAACCCGAGAGAACAACACTCTCACCTGAATGATTAAAACCCCTAATCACTCGATTGATTTAACTCACAATCTGGAATGAAGAATCTCAACCCTAACACGAGAAGAACATACACAGAGAACCCTAACGACTGTATATCACTCTACCAAAACTAAACGAACATAGCTTATATGGGTTGAATCGTGATTGATCCTGGCGTTAGATCTGGGGCATCCTGTGGTCTGAATTAGTCCAAGTTAATATGCCTAAAAACGACGCCGTATTAATGTTACTTAAACGACGCTGTTTCAGGCTTCATATTAACATGAACAATAAGAAAACATTGTTATCGTGTGAGGGGAGATGATCTAACTCAACTTAAGTGTTGGTACGATATTATTTTCTTCTGTTCATCTATTTTATCAATTCATCTTCCATGAAATGCAACCAATAGGATTCTGTATTATTCTCATAAAGTAAGCGTCCCATTGTTCTTACAGCAAGGGGAACCCCAACACATCTTGCTACAATATGCTTTCCAATTTCTACTAGTTTTGAGCCTTTTGGTTCAATTCATCTTCAAATGCCAATTTTGAAAACAAAGACCAAGACTCATCGTCAATTAGGCTTTCAAATCATAAATCATAGAAGAATTGCTAGTAATTTTTGCTACTGTTTTACTACGAGTAGTAACTAGTACCTACTTCCTTTCACATCATTCATTAGTAGTGTTTTAAATTGAAACACTTCTCACGATTCTCATTCCGTATGTCGTCCAAACTAGTAGATATTTTTTTCCATTAATTTTTTCACGAAGGATTTGCAGCAACTCTTCAAAGTTAGATTCTCAAATTACTTTTCCAGCATTTATAGATTTTAAGATGTTATTAACAATTTCTTTTACACTAAATCATCAGACAACTATCCATATTTTTAAATCAAAATGACATTTGACCTTTTCCTCATTGAAGACAAGCGAGCAAGTGTGGTTTTTCCTAATCCACCAATACCAACTATGGAAATAACAGAGACATGCTCATCATAATTTGAGTCTAACAAAAGTTGTATGATTTATTTTTATCATTTCCCTCTTGAATAACATTTTCAACAAGTTCAAAAGAGGTGTTTCTCTTTTTGTATTCAAGATTGGTTTCTCAAAGTGATGCTCAATAAAAGGAATTGGGTCATATATTTTGCAATGTCATCTAGCTTCTCCCTAACAGTTTTAATTTTATGAGCCATCTTAAGAATATGCAATTTGGTTAGATTTGGAGAAGAGATGCATACCTCTTTTGCCAAATTATTACTGTAAGGAATTGATATGAAGAGGCAAAGAGTAGCAGTTCAGGATGTTGATACTGCCAAAGTATGCTGAGAGAAGAGAAAGAGGAAAAGATTTCTGTATATCTATTATGTATTAATCTGTACAGTGCTAATTTATACATTTTGTAATTGTAAAAATGGAAAACAATGAATACAATAAATGTAATTATTCAATCAATCACATAAATTATGGATTGATTGAAGAGAGAATTGCTCCTTGATCACACCAGCATGAATCAAGGAATTTGTGCATTCCATATTTCGTCACTCCCCCTCAAGCTTGTGGTTTGTAAATGTCAAAAACTCCAGCTTGCCTAAGTAAATATGAATGTTGTCTGCTGCACAATGGCTTTATGAAAATGTCTGCTGGTTGTTCTGAAGTACGAATGTGCAAAGTCTTGATTACCCCTTCTTGTATCTTGTTTCTGACAAAGTGGCAATCAATCTCTATATGTTTTGTTCTTTCATGGAATACTGGATTTGCTGCGATATCATTTGCAGCTTTGTTATCGCAGTATAAAAGGACAGGCTTTCTTACTTGTACCTTTAGATCTTCCAATAACCCCAAAATCCAGATGATTTCACATGTTGTTTTGGCCATGGCTCTGTATTCGACTTCTACTGAAGATAGAGATATTGTTGATTGTTTCTTGGTCTTCCAAGAAATAAGAGCTCCCCCTAACTTGATACAAAACCCTGTAAGTGACTTTCTTGTCATTGGATATGTGGCCCAGTGTGAGTCACAATGAGCTGTGACAACTAATTCTTTGTCTCGGAGAAGGAGGAATCCTAATACAGGACATCCTTTCAAGTACTTTAGAACCTTTATTGCTGCATCCATGTGAGATTGTTTGGGTCCATGCATGAATTGGCTAAGAATGTGGACTGCATAACTAATGTCTGGACGAGTCATGGTGAGATAGATCAATCGCCCAACAAGTCTTTGATACTTTGTAGGATCTTCCAGTGGTGGATCATTTTCGAAAGATGATATCCCACTATCATATTCTTGAGTAGTCAGCTTTGTATTCTGTTCTATTGGAATGACACTTGGCTTGCATCCTGATAGTCCTGAATCAGAGATAAGTTCCAAGACATATTTCTGTTGGCTAAGGGATATTCCTGCTGGGGATCTTGCAATTTCAATGCCTAGGAAATACTTTGGCTCTCCTAAATCCTTTATTCTGAATTGTCTGTTAAGATGCTCCTTTAAGGATTTGATTCTTTTTTCATCATTTCCTGTAATAAGAATGTCATCGACATATATGATGAGAGCAATAAAAGTTTTACCTTTGTTCCAAGTGAATAATGCATAATCATGTTTAAACTGAATAAATCCTATGTCAGTGAGAGCTTTACTGAATTTCTCATTCCATTGTCGGGATGCTTGTTTTAGCCCATATAGGGATTTCTGCAGACGACATACTGTGTTCTCCCCTTGTTTGCGTAATCTCGGTGGAAGATCCATGTATATTTCTTCATGAAGATCCCCATGAAGAAAGACATTATGAACGTTCATTTGATGGAGAGGCCAGTCAGGACAGAAGCCACTGTAAGAAAAGTACGAACGGTGACATGTTTGGCTACGGGGGAAAAAGTGTCCTGATAATCAAAACCTTCTCGCTGAGTGTATCCCTTGGCCACTAAGCGAGCTTTGTACCGTTCTATGGAGCCATCAGCACGATACTTGATTTTGTAGACCCATTTATAGCCAATAGGTTTTCTATGGGAGGGGCGAGGCACGAGATCCCAAGTATGATTCTGAGAGAGAGCAGTAAGCTCAACAGCCATGGCTTGATGCCAGTGAGGGTGTTGAATAGCCTCTGAGTAACTAGTGGGTTCTCTTTCTGCGGAGATGTTACTGATGCAAGCTCTATATATAGGAGAGAGACGATCATAAGTCACATAGTTTGAGGTGGGATACAGTGGAGTTGAAGGATTTGAAATGGTGGGACACTCATAATCTGTGGCCTAGATTGGTGGTTTGGGCTGACGAGTGCTACGGCGGACAGGAACAGTAGGGGCCTGAAGAGAAGAGCTGGGTGGAGGAATAAGGGGTTGATTTGGTGGGTCTGCTGTAGTGTTATCAGTGTTGGTTATGTCAGGGTCAATAGTAGGAGTACTAGGCTGAAGAACTGGTGGATTAGGAACCATAGTGAAGAGAGGATCTTGAAGGGTATCATTGTCAGGGAACACTAGAGGTGATGGTGATGATGATGGAACAGTGTCTTCTGTGGCAAATGGAAAAATATCTTCATGAAATACAACATCTCGAGAGATCAAAAACTTGTTTGTAACTAGATCATATAGCTTGTATCCTTTCTGAAGCATAGAATATCCCATAAAAACACAACGGGTAGCCCGAGTACCAAACTTATCATGTGATCCAAGAGTGGTAGCATAACAAAGATAGCCAAATACTCGAAGATGATTAAGAGATGGTTGCTTCTGGAATAATACCTCATAAGAGGTCTTCCCATGAAAGACTCTACTGGGCATGCGGTTGATCAGGTAGGTAGCAGTGATCACACATTCGCCCCAAAAAGAGATAGGTTTCTAGGAGATGACGGTGTTTTCGTTCGACAACCCCATTTTGTTGGGGTGTATAGGTGCAAGAACTTTCATGCAGTATCCTGAGTGATGAAAAAAGGGATGAACAATTATAATTAAAGAATTCTCTAGCATTGTCTGTTCTAATCCTTTGACAAGAAGTATAAAATTGTGTGTTGACCATGACTAGAAAGTGTGTGATGTGGGTAAGTGTTTGAGCTTTGAATATCATGAGAAAAGTCCATATACCCCGGGAAAAGTCATCAACAATGGTGAGAAAAAAACGGGAGCCATCATGATTTGGAGTGTGATAAGGTCCCCAAATATCAAGATGGATTAGGGCAAAAGGTTGTGCCGTAGTGGAAGTGCTATGTGGAAAAGTAATTTGAGCTTGTTTAGCTAACGGACAGACGAGATAGTGAGGTTGGGGAATAGTAGTGCTGTGACCTAACCTTTGATGGAGAATAAAAGAGTTTTTATTAATTGTTGCATTACAATTGGTAATTTTATTGGGCGTGATACATGGATGAAAAATTCTAGAAGACTTTGCTGGTGCCCAATAGTATATACCTCTATGAACCTTACCCAAGCCCATCAGTTTCCCAGTCGAAGGGTCCTGAAATTCACATACGTTAGGACAGAATTTTACAGTGCAAGTATTGTCTTCACATAGTTTTGATACTGATATGAGGTTAAAATGAAAGGTAGGGACACATAGAACATTTTTAAGGAATAAATTTTCGGATAATTGGACAGTGCCTATGTGAGTGGCCGGGGTTATGTTTCCGTTCGGCATGCGAATAGATGTGGATGAGGTAGTGCAAACGGAGTGGAAAAATTTTGGATTACAAATGATGTGATCACTAGCCCTTGAATCAATAATCCATATGTCAGTAGTAACTAAATTGAAACAGTAGGAAGTACCTACATAAGACGTTGTAGGTGCGGTGGGAGCATTATTCAAAAGCTGAAGCAATTGATTATATTGATCCGAAGTGAGAACGGGTGCTTGCGGATTGCTGGAAGAAACTGAATCAACCTGAAAAGAAGAAGAATTGTTATTTTTGGCTTTAGGGCATCCATGTAATTTCCAGCAATGGTCTCGATCATGATTGGTCCGTCTGCAATAGTCACAATATAATCACCCCCGATTAGAGTGTGAATTGTCAGACCCATTGGACCCGTTTCTGGATCCGTTTGACAAAAGCTTGGGCCCAGTTGACCAGTTGGTTGGCCTGTTTGACTCTGATTGTGACGTGGCTCGATTTGAGCCATTAGATGCGTTTAAAAACGCAACCAGCTTCTAACCGTCAGACGCAGAGATGAAATCTGGGCCTTTCATCTCTGCATATAAATTCATGCCCTTTTCCTTTGCAGGTTGCCCTAGCCACGAGAACCCATCGTCGTTTTCCTTAAGCCTTGCAAAAACTAGAGAGTTAGTGGATGGCCGATCGGAGTTCAACTGGCGTTGGCTCTCATCCTGCACTGCTAGTTGAAAACTTCGGCGAAGGGAAGGTGGTGGAGAAGTGGCCAGAACTTGGGTGCGAAAAGCATAAAAGCTTTCGTTCAACCCGAGTAAAAAATGTGATAGACGATCGCGATCGCGGATCCATTGGTACTGGTGGAGGGTTTCCGGCGGCCCTTCAAGAGATTCCTCAGCAGCGTCCAACTCGTTCCAGACGGCAGAGAGCCGATTGAAATAAGTGGTCACCGAAGCGTTTCCTTGTTTGAGTTCGATCAATCGCTACCTGAGGGTGTACGTTTTAGCGAGATCCAGTTTCCCATACATTTCTTTGATGTATGCCCATATATCAGCGGCCATCTTTGTTGGTGGGAGTCCGGCCGAGATGTCTGTAGAGATGCAATTACTGATCCATGAGCAAACTAGTGTGTTGTAGCGGTTCCAGTGGCGTTGGAGGTGTGGCTGTGGTCGTGGTTGGAAGTTTTTGTCCAAGAAAAGCTCTTTGTCTTTTGCGATGAGAGCTCGTCGGAAATCGCGAGCCCAGGATGCATAGTTGTCTGAACCCATAAGGGTTTGTTTGATGAGGACCAATTCTGGTCCATCGGAAACCGGCAAAAACAGAACGTCGCCTGGTTCAGGGCGACCGTTGATGTTGGCTGGGATAAAGCAAAATGGATACGGGTAGGGATTTGGATCCGTACCCATTTGTGAACCAGATTCCGGGTTGTGACCCGATATTCCAAGAGGAGTTGGGTCGGTGCGGGTAAAAGAATCTGGGTCATAACCCGGCATTCCATATGGGTAACGGGCTGCCATTTGATTGAGTTTGAGTTGGGTTTGGATTATCTGCCATTTGCAGAAAAATAAAGTACTAAAACGATTTTTCTGTTTGATTGCAGGAATAGAAAGGAGAGGCTTGTTTGTGCAGAAGTGTGAAGATTATGGCTCTGATACCATGTAAGGAATTGATATGAAGAGGCAAAGAGTAGCAGTTCAGGATGTTGATACTGCCAAAGTATGCCGAGAGAAGAGAAAAGAGGAAAAGATTTCTGTATATCTTATTATGTATTAATATGTATAGTGCTAATTTATACACCTTTTGTAATTGTAAAAATGGAAATCAATGAATACAATTAAATGTAATTATTCAATCAATCACATAAATTATGGATTGATTGAATGAGAGAATTGCTCCTTGATCACAACCAGCATGAACCAAGGAATTTGTGCATTCCATATTTCGTCAATTACTCGTCATCATTTCTCGCTTTATAAGTTCGGTGGAGAGATCATCCAATAAATCATCCGCTTCATAAAATACAACTTTGAGCCTTCGAAGCCATTCTATCACCAGTTCATTCTTCTTGCTATGCTGCTTCTCAACATCGAGAAGAACCGCCTTGGTACTACGAACGGTTTCCCTAATCTTAGTGATATTATCTTGAACAGGCCTGTCCAATTTCTTGGAAAACATGGGGTCCCAACAATTGCAAGAGTTTCCCAACATTTTTCTTTTGGATTGCAGTAAAGCTAGTGAAATTGTTTCTGGGCAATGAATGAGAGAGAAGGAGGAAATATTAGAAGAGTGTAAGAATATAATTATAAAAAGGTTATTATATTTCTGATAAATTAGAACAAAAAGAATAAATGTTAAAGAAGATTGCTTTATTCCAACATTACTTGATGTATTTTTGATATGCTGAGGTATAATTGTTTATCAAGCAACCACAACATGGGAATGAAATAAAGCTTATAGCTTTTGAACTGGTCATCAAATTTTCTCAAATTTATTATCTTTAAAATTCCTAATATTCTCTCCAAAGATGTGTTATATTGTTGGTCCTGAAAGTCCCACATTAGTGAGAAATTAATTGGTCTGCCTAATTTGTTAGTCTTTTATGTTTTTGCCTATATTTGAACTGGGTTATGAGCAAAATTTATCCAAGTGGCAATGTACAGTGCAGGAATTGGCTGGAGATGGGACAAAAGAGTTGAATCTTGAAGGAAAAGTTGTGGTTCCAGGATTTATTGATTTTCATGTTCATTTGATTTGGGGAGGGCTGCAGGTTTAGTTACAAACTTGTTTTATCAGCAGTATATTTTTTCTCAAGATGTACTCTGCTATTATTCTTTCAACTTTTATTTTGACTAACTGGACATTGATTAGTTGAGGATCAAAGTCTAGTGAAAAAGCATGTTGAGATTTACAAACATATGCATGGTTATGGCTGTGAAATTTTTTTCTTGATGACTTCTACTTAGTCAATGTATGACCATTTTTCCAGTATACTGGCGTAGACATGTGCTAATATTCTTGTTCAAATGACAAAGTTGTCTCTTTGTTCTGTCTGAGTAAGTTTGAATCTTAAGTTTTTAACACAGGCTTCCCTCTATGACTTCTAAACCTGATTTCTCTTACATAAGGAACTCTAAAGTAGCAAGTTTGAATCTTAATT